ACAACAGAAGGTTTTCAACTATGAGTGAAAGATGCAAAAAGGGCCAGCCTACTTGTTTGTTCTGCTCAGCTCTAGTTAAGGAAATTAATGGGACCATGGAACAGATGCAAAATTGCAGCGTTACTTATCTGCAATGTTATTTTCAGGCTTCATCAGTGCCGTCTGCTTAACAAAATGAAAATTATCTGACTTGAATCCATACTGACAGCTGTGTCTACGGCCAAACAGGACACTTGGCTCTGGGAAAGAGCCTTTGGAAAGCACAAACGTGAGGGCCAACCAAAGTTCATTTCAAGTCAAAGTGATGGAATTAATTTCTGGGTATGGCTCGATTTCCTGGAGTTAGATGTTATTGTTAAGTGTTATCGAGTTGGTTCTAACTCATAGACACCCTGTATAGGGTTACTGAGGAGCAGCTGGTGGGTTTGAACTGCCAGCCTTTCGGTTACCAGTCTAGTGCTTATCCACACTAGAATTTCCGGAGTTAGATTATTGTTGTTGTTGCTAAGTGCCATTGAGTCTGTTCTGACTCATAGCGACCCTGTAAAGGGGTTTCCAAGGAGCAACTGTGAGTTTGAACTGCTGGCCTTGTGGTTAGCAATCTAGTGCATATCCTACAACACCATGCCATTTAGCACATTCCCTAGAGTTTCCATGCTGTGTGATCATTTTCCCTGGTTATAGAATAATGTACTAAGACTGCTCCTGCTCCAAGGAGTAGTTGAGTGTTTCAGGGTGGAGTTTGAAGTTTTGTCAGCGTCGTTCTTGGTCCGTCTCATAACTAGCTAGCTAAGGAGCCCTGGCAGCACAGTGGTTAAGCACTCAGCTGCTAACGGAAAGGTCATCAGTTCTGCTGGAGAAAAGACCTGGCACTCTACTCCTATAAGGTTTGTTGTTGTTATTGTTAAATGCTACAGAGTCAGTTCTGACTCATAATGACCCTGTATGGAGGGGTGGATGGTGGGTTTGAACTGCTGAACTTGCGGTTAGCAGTCCAGAGCTTCTATAACAACAATTTGCACTGCAGAGACTCTTTCCCATCGCCTTTCAAGACCAAGACTGTTAGAAGCACTTCCGAGAGCTCGCCAGGCTGAAATAGATGCCTCCACAATCTCTTAATAACTTGGGCCCACCTCAGGAGCACTCATCTCTTTATGATTGATTTTCTTTGGGCTCTCCTTTTAGGTGGTGGTGGTGGACCTAAAGGCAGGAATTGAGGCCTTTGTATCTAAGAACTGGCAGTCTATTCCATAGCAACTCATATCTCATAGGCAATAAATAAGTGTTGATGGCAAGACTGAATGAAAGTCAAAGTCTTTAGCAACATTCAGAAGTAGTTTTAGCATCTCCTTGGGTTACGTTCATAGTAGAACAATGAGACTCATGGAGCTGAAAAAAAATGCTTGCATTTGGAAGCAATATCTTTTAAACTCAATAGCAGTACTTTGTTACCTGAGGAAATCAAGTTACATCAAGTGTTGTTATATACTTTCTGCAAATAATGAGAGAACCACAACTAAAGAATAGAGGAGCTCAGGCAGTTAAAGAAAGAACTAGAAGACTTCCAAAGCCCAACATTAGTATGAGCTACATTTCAGGAGAAAATACACTGAATGTCACTATTCTAAGATATTGAGGCAAAGGAGGGCAACAATTTCGTGTGATGTTGAAATCACCAGCATTATTTTAACTGAAGCACAAAATCAAACTTCCACAATTAGTGACTATTGTAATGATGAATGTTTATTTTCCATTCTGGTATAGCTTGAGGAAAGATTAGAACAAATGTGGGAAAAGGCATTTTAGGATGAAATTATAAGAAAAATAGCCACCACATATTGAATACTGATAGTACCAGTTTTCAACAAGTTACAAGTTACTATCTGAAGTAGGTAATATGGTGTGCACATAATTGAAAGTGGAACTAAATTTCAGACAAGTTAAGTAACTTTTTCAAACTCCAATAGCTCAAATGAGATAGAGCTGGAATTTAAAATGTATGTTTTTTATGCACTGCCTCAAATAAATCTGCAACCACATTTTACATTTACAGTAATGTTTTTTTACTAGCTTTTCCCTGAATAAGAAATAATTCTGATACTCAAATTATATTTATAGTCTAATGGGGTGGGGGTGAGAGAAAGGTGTTACTAGGATCACCCTACTTCTTCCAAATAGATGATCAGGTAATAACTTTACCAATCTTTTATAAATACATGTCATGATTATACAACAAATACATGTTTCAGTATACCACCATGAGAAAATCTAGTTCAAGTAAATCATATCCATCTCCCTTATCTTTATAGTCTTGTTTTGAGTATTATTTTTTATTAATGGAAAAGTTTAGGATCTTAAAAATAGGATGTCTTAAAAATGAAAAAAGATTTAAGTATGAGACATACTAAAATATTAGGCATAGAGATTGTAGAGAGAAAAAAATAAGAGCTAAAGGAAATCAGCAACTGAAAACAAACATAGCTCTCCAAGTGCTCAGTTATTTCAGAAACTCCTGCCAACCTCTCTGCATCCCCTGGCTTTGGAATTGGGAGCATTGCCAATTGTGTGCACTATACATATTCATCTCTGGCTTGGCTTTTTTGCTCTGCAAGGAAGGTAGCTTAGATCTGCTTAGCCTGGCAAATTATGCAAAATAGGTTTCGCCACAGGGCTTTGCTTCTTCACAAGGATAGAACCCAGACCCATGCTGGAGTTTTTATCCATCTCTTGAAATAAATCCCAAAAAGAAAGTGCATTTGAAGCAGGCTTGTAAGAAAAGGAATGAAAATGTTGGCACAGAAAATTAGTTGTTGGAGAAACAACAGTGAGTCTATAACTGCACATTTTGAAATGCTGGCTATAGAAGATGTACTTGAAGGTATTCCTCATTACCAGCTGTATTAATGAATGTAACTACCAACTTGTTTTGACTTTGAATAGGAATCATACACATATAGCCTAACATGCCCAAGAATTCTAGCTCTAGATGACTTGGATTAAGGATATGCCAGAATCTGGCCAATAACTCATTCTTGGTTAGGATGAAATTAGATACAGAAGCTCCCTTAACTAATCTCTTCTTAACCACTTTTCTGGATTAATTGTGGTTCTGCATTCTCTTGGTAAAATCTATTGACCAATGTTATGGAATACCCACAAGTAATAGGTTTCTTTCTCTAGTATGCATGAACACTTCTTTTGCTACAATTTGAGACATAAATTTTAAAATATAGAGTCAAATGTGTTTATTCTCAAGTCTGTTTATGCCATATTTGTCATTGTAGCTATGGAATTTCATTTCAAATAACCTACAAAATATGAGTGTAATGGCTCTACAGAGCTAATGCTTTGGAAAGATTCAAGGGTGGGATGAGGCTTAGGCAATAATCTACTATTAATTATATAGAGAAAAACTTAAACATTGTGGAAAATAATAAAAATCTAGATGTATTCATATGCAAAAGGTTCAAAAGGTTTGTGGAAAAATTCCATTATCTTTTCTTTCAATTTTTACATGAACTATTTGAAACCCCCTCACGCTACTTTACCTTCTTTAAATTACCAGTGCATTAAATAAATTAAAAAAATCAAACTGGAAATCACTATCTACATATTAAGGGTATGGTTTAGGGGTGAAAAAAAACCCACCTCAACTCCTTAACTGTAATTAACTGAACCATGGTTATAGTGAAGACTTTAGTTTCAATCCTAAGGTTAGCAAACTTTTAAATTTAATGTTGATACTATAGATATGTATCACTTTCTATGATTCGCCACATTACCTAACTTTGCTCAATGCATAGGCATTTTTCAGTTAGTCATCAGTATTTAAAGGAGCCCTTAGGATAAGCACTTATCACATGCATATAAAAAGGGCTCCCATTAAGTATGGTCCTTAGACCACAACATTAGTAGCACCCAGAGGGTGGTGGTTGTTGTTGTTAGGGGTCATCAAGTCGGTATGGGTACGGACCCACAGCAACCTTATGCACAGCAGAACTAAACACTGCCTGATCCTAGGCCAACCTCACTACTGTTGCCACGCTTGAGTCCATCAATGATGCTGCCACTTGGCCAATCCAAAATGCAGAATTTCAGCTTCCCTTTGCAGTAATGCCCAAGATCTGGGTTTTACCAAGCTCTTCAGGTGATTCTGAGGCCAGAGATACAGTGCTACTGAAGGCAGTACAAGTTGAAACAGCACAGTTAGAAAGTAATATGGCACAAGACAAATTTAAAAATTCTTTTTTATTCTGATTCAACAATCCTGCTTTTAGGATGCATAAAGATATCCATGGTAATACTAGCTACACTAATTTTTATGAGAATGATAGCAATGTGACTAAGAAGAGAAAACTAGTAAATAAATGATAGGAAGTATAGGTTCACTATGAGTCAGAACCTACTCGACGGTACTCAACAAACAAAAAACAAAACAAACTCAAATATATATATATATACACACACATTAAGGTTTTAAAAGATGGTGAAGTGTTTATAATATAAAGTTAAGTAGAAAATGTAGCATTTACTACAGCCATCATTGTTGTGCTTGTTATTAAGTGCCATCGAGTTGGTTCCAACTCACATCAACCTTGTATAGGGTTTCCAAGGTGTAGCTGGTGAGTTTGAACCACCCATCTTGTGGTTCAAATTGACCTTCCAGTCCAGTGCTTTATCCCCAGTAGAAATATCAACAAAGACTAGAAAATTACTAGTTCCATTATATTAGGGTAGGATTACATGAAGATTTAGTTCTCATAATGAGAAAAAAATTAATTTAGTTATAACAATGCTTATATAATGAAAAGACCTTAATTACATGATTTAAAATTCACACTACACTCTGAACACACACTATGAAGACCCTTTTAATTATGTGAAACATTTCTGCAATATGTCACTAACCAGCTGCTGCATGTAAAAACCTCAAGATGTATTATCTTTTGTGACAGATGGGTAGTTAAAAGGATAAGCTTTAACTAAGAATGTCTGAATACCTGAATTATCCTCATCTTTGCGGATTTTGAGTTTCACCAGGTCTTCACACTGCTGGAGGATCTGAACTGCATCTTCCATGGAACAGTTGTCCAGCCGGATGTTATCGATTGCAAGTAGTTTATCCCCAAGTTCCAGAGTTCCGGTTCTGTTTGTAAATGCATAGCCACACAAGACTAATAAATGAGCACCTAGGCCATTTAAAGAAGTATGAAGGATACTGCAGCATTCTGGGTCTTTACAGGGGAAGAGGTTCTTCAATAGCTTTTAAATTGTATTTTACAGGCAACCTGTTACCTCTTTCTCCAGTCTTATTTTGCATGACTGTTGTGACATTAAATTGAAGAGCATTAAAAACATTTGTCTTATCTTTTCTTCAATTCAATTGGGGCACTCATATAACCGTCCCTCAGGAAACCCAATGTTCCTTGGAAGGTGGGAGTCTTTTTGCTCCTCCACACTATTGCTCCACTTGTGAGCCTTGGCAGTCAGACACTAGAAGAGGGCTGGGGGAGTGAGGGAGGCAAGGTGGGATGGAGATGGTACAGCATGGGGGCTTGGAGTCTCTGCCACTTCTACCTTCACCCGTGGCTACAAGTGACTCCTGAGAGTAGACTTTGAGACTCTGATACTGATCACGCAGGTCTGTGGAAAATATTCAGGGTCCACCATGAAAAGAGAAAAATAATGAGAATAGAGTGTGCATATTTGTTTGTGCATTTACCTGGTGGCACAACAATTAAGTGTTCAGTTGCTAACCAAAAGTTGGTGGTTTGAATCCACCAAGCAGCTCTGTGGGAGTAAGATCTAGTGATTTAAAAAACCTATGGGAGCGTTCTGCTGCATCCCACAGGGTCACTATGAGTCAAAAATACACTCGATGGCACATAACAATATGTGTATAAACATACACAAATACGAATAGTTGTAGGAAAGGTTAACAACTGTAATGTGCTGGGAAGAACTATACTTTTTAACATAGTCCTGGTGTGGTACTGTAGGATGAGCCCTGGATTTGTTGTTGTTGTTAAGTGCCATTGAGTAGATTCTGACCCATAATGACCCTGTATAGGGTTTCCAAGGAGTTACTGGTGGGGGCTTGGAGTCTCTGAACTGACCTTGCAGTTCAAATGACTTTGCAGTCTGACACACTAGCCCACAGCACCACACCAGGACTCCAAGCCCTGGATAGTTAACCGCAAAGTTGGTAGTTCAAACCCACCACCTTGGAAACCCTATACAAAGTCGCTATGAGTCATAATAGACTCCCCGGCACTTCACAACAACAACACCCTTTATAAATGTCGTCTGTCTGTGATATTGTTTGTTGTTAAGTCCTTTGAATCGGTTCTGACTCTTAGCGACCCTGTATAGGGTTTCCAAAGAACAGCTGGTGAGCTTGAACCGCCGATCTTGCAGTTCAAACTGACCCTGCAGTCCAGTGCATTAACCCACATCGCCACACCAGGACGCCTGTTGTCTGTGACTGAGACTGCTAATTGTTTCTTAAAATCCCTTCTTCTTCCTTCTTTTAGTAATAGACCCTCCCTAGCTTGAGCTGGGCTCATAGTTGTGGGTTCATACACATGTGGGCTCATAGTTGTGAACAGGACACTAACCTTGGCACTGGGATTGGAAAGTGATATGCAAATTCTGGGTCACCCCTTTCTCTGGACTCTCCTTCCTTGTCTATCCCCTGTTCACATTCCCTCTGGCTAGAAAATTACAATGACCAGAGTCAGTTAGTTTAGATGGCCATGCTCCCTAGTCCTGGATTGCCTGCCAAACTCCCAACTCTTGTATGAGAAAAAACTTCTGTCTTGTTTGAACCACTGTGCTTATGAGTCTCTTTGTCCTAGTACTTGACCTATACTTTGACTCACACAATGTCCTTTCCTCTTTTGGAATGTCAAAATATTATTTCTTTAATGAAATGATTACGATCATAGATAGGATGTTTTTTAAAAATAATGTGCTTATTTGAAAAATAAAAAAGAAAGTTAATGATGTCATAAAGTATTCCTCATCATTCAAAAACATTTTTGATCTGTGAAATAAAAAACATTTGACAACTCCTGATTGTGATGGGATTTGGAAAGTGGTGGTAAGAAGTTAGTGTCTTTTAGCCTATTTTAATAAGACAGACAGACTTGTTGGAGGTCAAAGGCCATAATGGCATATCCAACATAAACCAAAACCCTTCCATAGGCTATTGTCTCCATGTGGGGCACATCTCATAATTAGGAACAATTTCATTTTTTGTAAGCTGGAAAATGAAGGATGGAAGATTATCATTAAAGGATAATTTGTGCCCGCCTCAAAAAAGACCCTAATAACCACTATCAGTTGAATGTTGTCTGTACTGGATACAGAAATAAACTGACATGAGGGAAAGTATCTTAGCTTTGTTGTTGTTATGTGCCGTGGAGTTGGTTCAGACTCATAGTGACCCTGTACAGGGTTTCCGAGGCTGTAAATCTTTATGGGAGCAGAAAGCCTCATCTTTCTCCCGCGGAGCAGCTGGTAGTTTCGAACTGCTGACCTTAAGGTTCGCAGCCTGATTCTTAACCACTACGCTATCAGAGCTCCATCCATTGTTAAAAGGAATGTCAAGTCTTACTGATTAATTGTGGCTGTCTTTATCATGAGATCCAGAATCCAGTGATCCATTAATAAGGTATGCCTTGGGCGTGGTAGGGATCATTGTTATTTTGGCCAGACAATTAATTTTCCTTACCTGTGCGCCACACTGCCTTTCTTGATATCGGAAATGACAAGAGGGTCCCCTGGTTTTCTACTGGATGGTGCTGTAATAATGAAGACAGAAATAGTGATATATTTATACATTGATCAATTGCTAGTGTTTATCTCCTTATTTTACAACAACTGTTAATGCAAGTTTAGTTTGCATCTAAAGCAAAGATGATCATCAGATGAATTTAAAACTGGACATATTATATCCTCTTTACCTAAAATTATGTTTACGTTAAAATGTTGATAAAAAATAAAGCAAAGTCATTTAAAATTTGCAGTCGGAGAACACATAATGACAAGAACTGTCCATATAAATTTATTTTAATCAATGAGTCTCAAGAGGGGAAGTAAAAGCTGGGCAACCTTATAGGGACATATTAAAATCAATTAGGTGTTGATACTCAATTTTTTCTCCCACTCTTTCCTCCACTATTTTCAGTGATGAGATACCACTGTTTCTAGGAATGTGCCACACTACTCAAGTGTACCAAGTACAAAATGGATGTGAATTACTGGTTTAGGGTTGTTGTTTTATTTCCAGATGAAAATTTTTTGCTAGATAGACTATAAATCTGTAAATTCTGCACATAAATCCATACCTAGAAAGCTCTGAAATGTTCTTGAATATGACCATTTAATTTTATTGAAAAAGTAAACATTATGTTTCTACTTAATTCTATTTTAATACATGCTCATATTCTAAACATGCACATGTAACTTTCATTGACTTTACAGATAAACCTATTATCCTGGATAGTGGTCAGTTTTGGACTTTTTAACTTTTCTTAGAAATCATTCCATTTAAGGAGAATAAAGAGTAATTAGAAAAAAGAATCTACTTAGAAGTAACTGTGAAAATGAATTATAGTCCAGAAAGCCATAAAAGTATCATCTTGCCCTAGAAAGTTTACATTCACGTTAGGCATTTGATACTTAACCAAACGAACATTTATAAAGCACATTTGCCTCTGAGTTTACGTTAGGCATTTGATACTTAACCAGACCAACGTTTATAAAGCACAATTTGCCTCTGAGATGTTTTTGCCAACCTGAAGCCTGGAGTTGTTTCCTTTTAAAGATCATTAAAAGGCTTCTAAAGTAAGATTTTATTATAAACAATCTGATTATCCCATAATAACCACAGAATCATATCATATCTCATAATCCCACCTGAATCCCAAGAAAATGCTTATTATGCACAAGAACAGATGGTTTAATATTTCAGTCCAACATCTGAAGGAAAAGCAAACATACATACTGATACCTCACCCACTGTCTACATAGGTTTATAGCAAATGTTAATGGAACTACATTCAATCAATATTTTTAATTGCTAGCAAAGCATGAAAAATATTCTATTTTCTACATTTAATTCATAAATTAAACCTGTACTCAATGCTTTAATATAAATCCTCTAAAGAAATAGAAGAATCTATAATTTTCACTCATGTCCTCTTTCAAAACTGTAAACTGTTCTGAATAGAGGGCACAAAAATAAAACTTCGTTATTATCAGCAAGTAGAACTTTTCCAGCATCTGTCAATGTATTTACACAATATTTTGCTAAACTGGAGTAACCACCACATCACATTCAATATTTCCTTTGGTGTTTTAAAATATCTACAATCCACTGAAATGGTCTGTGAAACGACCATAGCAGAGGCAACAGAATACATCAAATTTACCCTTGTCATCTTTGTAATAGAGAAAAATAGCACAGTGAACTCCTAGAAAACTCGGAGCTTTTCAGAGCAGTTTGAAACTGCATTTGGTTAACGGACATGTGTGACAGCCATTCCTCATTTACTAGGTTCTACTCTGTCTCCCTTAATCAGTTACATAGCTGACACTTAAAAGACTCATCAGAGTGGATGCCTATTGGATTGATGAAATGGGACCTAGAAAGAACTCAGTTCTGAATAAGCTTCTGACTTGGTAACTACCATATAGACTTGAATTCTGGCAATGCATGCTCCTGGGGCTCAGTCGTGGCTTATACACACCAGCACCACATTTTAATTTTCTATTACTTGGGAAGCAGGTACAAGCCAAGCAGGCTTTGATTAGCTTGCAATGCTTTGAGAATATTGAATTAGTAGCCAACATTTGAACGTTGGTAGATTTCATATCCATTCCATGTCTGTCAGCCTGTGGTGGCTTGCAAGTTGCTATGACGTCGGAAGCTATGCCACTAGTGTGAGGGTCTGTCAAAAAGTATTGCTACAAAATCATATAAAGCTTCATTAAACAAAAATACCAAAATGTAATGCTGGTAGAGGGCGGTAGCGGCGGGATAGCGGCTGGACTGCGGTGGCAGAATGTTGTCTACCAGAGTGTTGAGCCTCATCGGCAAGCAAGCCATTTCCACCTCCGCGTGTGTGCCAGCGCAAGGGAAGTGTCGTGAAGTCCGAAGACTATGCTCTCTCAGTCTATGTCGACCGGCGGGACTACCCTTTGCCTGATGTGGCTCACGTCAAGACCCTTTCTGCCCAGCAGAAGGCCTTGAAGGTGAAGGCTGCTTGGAACACCCTTTCCATCGATGAGAAAATAGAATTGTACCGCATTAAGTTCAATGAGAGCTTTGCGGAAATGAATCGAAGCACCAACGAGTGGAAAACAGTTGTGGGGTCTGCCCTGTTCTTCATCAGCTTCACGGCACTGATCCTGATCTGGGAGAAGTATTATGTCTACGGTCCCCTCCCACACACCTTCGAGGAGGATTGGGTGGCCAAGCAGACCAAGAGGATGCTGGACATGAAGGTCAGCCCGATCCAGGGGTTCTCTGCCAAGTGGGACTACGACAAGAACGAGTGGAAGAAATAAGATGTGTGTGAACCTCCATGCAACTGAGCTTATTTAACCAGTTACACAAAACAGTCATAATACAAATAAATGACCAGTTTACCTGAAAAAAAAAAAAGTAATGCTATGTTTTTAGACTTAGACATTATTTCCATCTATGTCTAAACAAGTGTGAAGGTGGTGTTTCCATCTCTCTAACCCTTCCCCGTATGGACTTATGGTGTGGCATTGCAAGATAAAGCACTGGACCAAAAGGTCAGTTTGAACCGAGAGGTCAGTGGTTCAAACCCAGCAGCTGCTCCTCAGAGACCCTATACAGGGCACTTAACAACACCTCGAAGAATCAGCAGATGAATTGTGATGGAACCAAAATTCCACGGTGCAACTTCCCTGACCTTTTTCTCATCAATGCAGTTACTAAAATTTCTTAAAGCCTCTTTATAATAAGCCTCTGTGAGCTTATTGAGAAAATCAATCAAGATGATCCCAAAACAAGAGTCACCAAAACCTTCTGAGCTGACCTCTCTGCCTTGAATGTAACTGGCCCAGCACATATCTCCTTGGAAGCCAATGTCTTTAATGTGCCTTTCTTTCTTGAAGGCACCCTAACGAGACTAAGACAAGCGTATTACTAAGAGAACTTGTCCGCAGTCGTCCACTGATTATAGAGACATGTTTAAACATTATCGTCCACAATAAACCCACACTTTTTGACTTACCCTAGTATTTCAGGGTGAATCAAAAAGCAGGATCAGTCACAGTGGACAGGTTTCAGTGGAGTTTTCAGACTAAGGCCGACTCAGAAGAAAGGGAGCAATCTACTTCCTAAAATTGGCCAATGAAAACCCTGTGAATGTTGCCTGATATTCATACTGAAAGATAGGTCCTCTTGGTTGGAAGGCACTAAAAATACCCAGTGGTCACAATAATGTATTCCAGGCGAACAAATGATCATGAAGAGGGAGGGCTAGGACAAGACGAGGCATTGTTTTGTTCTGTTATACATGGGACTACCATGGCTTGTAACTAACTCAACAGCAACCTGTAACAAAGACATTAACAAGATTTCATACCAATATCTAGTTGCTCCTAAAAGTTTAGAGAGTGAAACAGATAGACGAAATGTGGCATATACATATAATGGAATACAGTTTTCAGTGATTTGGCCTTCCATGGAGACAGACAGGACAGCGATGGGATCTGGGGAAGTCTGTAGGTGATGTAAACACTGTGGTTCTAGAAACAACAAAGGCCCACACATGGAAGATAGACATGAAGAATTTAAATGAAAATTATTTTATTTCTTGAAGTGACATATGAGTGGGGGGAAAGGCAATATTTCCAACATAATGAACATCATGTCCCATGGAATTTGACATTATTGGTCTCTCAATTGTCAGGCTTTTAGTCCTATATGTTTGGACAGTTAAGTTGAGATTTCAAATTGTTATTGGTTGTTTTTTGTGCCCGTCTAGAGACTTTTATTCAGGGTAAGGAAGAGGAAGGTGACCTCTGCCAGAGAGAGAAGAGCGGTTGTTTTAGTTTTGTTCTCATTTTCTTTTTCAGAATTTAGCATTTTGTTGCCTTTCCTTTCTAAGTTATAATTTTTTAAAAAACAAAAGAGATGAGTTTTTATTGAAATTAAATGATCCAAATGTTGTTTTTTGATATAATACCACATGTGCTTCTTTATGAACACATACTTTAAGAGTGGGTTATGCGTTGAGCTGCTAGCCACCAGATCAATAGTTCAAGTCCACCAGTCACTCCGCAGGAGAGGAGACTTTCTGTTCCCATAAAGATGGATAGCCTCAGAAATCCTACACAGGATCACTATGATGAATCACGATCAACTCCATGGCAGTAACTTGAGCTGCTAGCCACCAGATCAATAGATCAAGTCCACCAGTCACTCCGCAGGAGAGGAGACTTTCTGTTCCCATAAAGATGGATAGCCTCAGAAATCCTACACAGGATCACTATGATGAATCACGATCAACTCCATGGCAGTAACTTGGGTTTTATGGGCTAGCCTCATTTTTGTTTTGTTTTTTTAATTTAATATTTTATAGTATTTAAGGTGAGCATTTACATGGCAGATTAAGTTCCCATGTAACAATTTCTGCACAAATTACTTTGGTGATATTGGGAACAGTTTTCATAATCTGTCATTACTCTTATTCATTCTTGTTCTGGTTGTACCATTTCTCTGCCACATTCCTGTCTGGTGTACCCCTGTTTCCCTCCTCCC